AGAAACTTCTTCCTTGCTTCTTCTGAGTGCAAGGGGAGCTCTTCCAGGTTCTGTAATGTGCGGCGGTTTCCATGCGGAATCATCCAAGCAACATCCATCTGTAGAACAGAAAAGTAAAACGAGTAAAATCTTGCCCCCTACTGGTGCGGCAAGTAAAATATAAATAAGCATAATTTAATTATCTGAATGACGGGTTGCCTCCCGTTTAAGCGCTTCTTTAACGTCCGTAGCTTGACGCTCACCCACTTTTTCCGCGACCTTCCGATTCGAGAGTCATAAAGTTTGGCCCTTTTGACTCTCTTCTGATGCCACACTGTTCGAACTTTTGCTCGGTCAAGATCCAGGATCCTTGAATCATCCCTGCGGCTTGGTGGCAACAGGGTATATGGAGGAGACTCTGTATAGGTGGGTGGGGGCGGAAGTCTCCTCAATATATCCACATCGTTAGCCTTGGTTGCGAAATTGATTCCTTCCTTATCTTCAATTGGCTGACTATCCATTTGTGCTTTGATGATTATGATCGTACCCTCCCCCATGGATGCGTCTTCAGTGTCACTTACCAGAAGTTCATCCCAACTCTTTTGGCTCCAACCATCGTTCGGGCAGACATAGTCGCACCCGTCAAGTAGGGAGTCAAAGAAGGTATGGTCTGAATCTTCAGATGAAGCATTATGTACACAGGATTCTATAAGCGGAGTTTGCTTTTCCATGCAAAGTAATTCCTCGTCTATAGATTCCTGCTCAGACACTTGGACATTGGTATCTTGGGGGCAGGTAATGGGCTCTACTTCCTCCAGAACAGGTTCCTCTGGAGGTGTGTCTTCAACACAATTAAGGAGATGGTCATTTATTGCCGTAGGCAAAACTTCCTCCTCCTTTTCTTGAATGTGCGTGGGTGGTTCTGAGTCAGGTCCCTCAGTTGGTTCCACCTCATGTACGACTGTGCCGGTTGACACTTGGCTTGGAGGGTATTCAGGTAACATCACCACAGTAGCCCTAGCAAGAGTTGTTATGCTCTCAGGTTTCTGAGATGGTGTAGAACTTGGTGAATCTTCTAGAACTGGCACCTGATGATTNTTCAAGCCCGAATCTTGATCCTTTGATGATTTATTCCCCTTTTCTCAAATACTTGAACAAAAATGGATGATTTATGATGATTTCATGTGGAATCCCATTTTATGACTCTTAGAACGAAAATGAGAGTGTTATCCATTAAAACCACATTTTATGAGATGATTAAATACTATTTACGTGCAATAACGTTTAGAATATGATGTAAAAGATAAGAACGAAACGGACTTATCACCTAGTTTAAGTAGGATTGGGAGAAACCAATTGTTATTTAAAGGGTGTTGAACTCTCTCAACAACTCAAGAAATAATAAAACTCTCCTCTCTCCCACATTCTCTCTCTCTCTCTCACGTCTCTCTCCCCAAAACCCTAAGCTGCGCACAACCTCTGTGCGGCAGCAGCTTCCCCTCTGTCCCCCTCATATCAGGACCAAATCAGCCCGGAAACAACATTGATGTCTATCTTCAGATGGTAGTTAAAGACCTTCAAAGGTTGTGGATTGGTGTTCAAGCCTATGATGCGTACAGAAAAGAGTTCTTCACATTGCGGGCAGTTTTGTTGTGGACAATTAGTGATTATCCTGCATTGGGTAATTTATCAGGCAATGTTGTAAAAGGCTATAATTCATGTGTTGTTTGTGGTGATAAAACAAATGCTATCAGGTTGCGTAATTACCGTAAGATGGTGGTTATGAAGCATCGCAGGTGGTTGCCACGACATCCATATCGAAGGCAGAAAGCAGCCTTTGATAACACAGTGGAAAAGAATGCAGCTCCTATCCCATTGACTCGGGAAAAGGTATGTTTACATGTGCAATCGTTAAGTGACCATGTCTACAGGAAGACACAACCACATCCTCGTCTAAAAAATGGAGACATCCGACCTACTTGGAAGAAGATGTCTATTTTTTTAAACTGGAATATTGGAAATTTCTGTCAGTAAGGCATGTTCTCGACGTAATGCATATTGAGAAAAATATATGTGAGGCATTAATTGGTACGTTGCTTAATATACCAGGGAAGACAAAAGATAGGGAATCTGTGCGTATCGATATGGCTGAAATGGGTATTAGAACGGAGTTGATGCCCAAAAATCCAGGAAAAAATGAGAAGTTACCAATGGCATCTTGTAACTTATTGCACAAAGAAAAAAAGATACTTTGCTCATCTTTGATTGGCATGAAGTTAC